AGGTTCCCACTGAACCAGGGTTTTTAGTTTAGCTTTCAGCAGTTATAGAGGTTTTTAAAGCTGATTGTGGAAGCTGCGACATCTTTCGCTCTGTTACAGTTAAAAGCTGTTTTTTTTTTCTGATGCCAGAATCACGTGAGACAATCTGTTTTACTGACTTTGCCTTTGCCAACGGTGTTTTAATGGGATGTTACTATATTGGAACAGTTTAGTAGTTAAATAATTTATTATTCTGTTAAGTTTTTCAATAGAGTTATTTCAATTCTTCTTTGTTTTGCTTATATTTCAAGTGGGAATAGGAATAAAGTGTGTTTTGCTTAAAGCTGAGTAGTGTGACCAATCAAATTATATCTGGAACATGGCATCTTAGACTTGCCTTTAAGTAAGATAAAAGTGAGGGTCTTTCTCCATAATATATCTGCAGGGGTTTTTGTCTGGTCCATAACACTACCAATAAACAGAACTCTTGTTCTTTTGAAAAAAATTATTACAGGAATAAAGTAAAAAGTCAAGCAAACAATAGCAACTGTTCCTCATAAAAAAGAACATTAGTCATTTCATCAAGGGCCCAGTAAACACACAAGTTGTTAGGAAAATTATCATCATTTTGTATCTGGGTCACGAGGCCACAGGGAGAGATAACAGAAAGTTAAAAACCAAACGGCGGGTAAAGAATAATAACTTCCCTTATGCCTACTACACAAATTTTGTTTCTTTCTGCATGTTCTGATAGACAATTGCCAACTCACTCATATTTTAAATATTTCTAGTCTGAGATGCCACCGCTTTGAGAAACAGCTTCTACATAAAATTATAGCATTTTAATTACCGGCACTGCACATCAAATTTTCTTCTGCACAAATACTTTACCAAACATTTTTTCACAGATCATAAAACATTCTGTCTTCAAACAAACTGATGGCAGGAAACAGATGTACCAAAGTCTCTCTGACAAAATGATGTAATGCATAAAAAAGTTGACAGTTAACTTATATATAGAAATAAAAAGGATGTGGTACCATCAGTTCTAAGTTTCACAATATCAAAAGGGAAACACATTGACAGAATTTCACTACCAGGGCTGCTTTCCAAATGTAGAAAAGAAAGAAGGGAAACTTTCTAGCTCGATTATCTTTAAAAGAGAAAAGAAAATTGGCAAAGAGAGAATACCAATTCTGACATCAGACTCAATTGCTGCAGTAGGAAGTAAGGATTCTAGTTCTGGCAAACAGGCAGTGAAAACACAATGGATAGAGGTAAGGAACAGCAAAGGATGTGAGTTACTGATAAAAGCTGTATGCAATCTCTTGATATTGAATGGATTATGTGTAAGAGAAGCATGCATCAAAAACACCCAGTTCTAATGGGAGATTTTAACTTTCACTTACAGTAGGATTGTGGAGCAGCCAAAATTGTTTAAACAATGAAATAGTAAAAAGCATTAAGGACTATTCTTCAGAACAATATTTTCAAACCAAGAAGCGATCAGGTCAAGCTGGATTCAGTGATAAGTAACAAACTAAAATTAGTTAACATTTGGTGTTGTGCTTGGCCAAGCTGGCAGACCCTCAAGCTGTGAGGTGGGAAACATGTGGGGACAGGGGCCTCCATTCATAATGAGGACCTAAAAAAGAGATACATCAAACCCTTTCATTTATCAATGCTCTCAAGTGCATACTGGAAACAGGCTTTCATACCAGCCATCAAACCTGACTAAATAATCAATCATTAAATTGCCTTCTTAAAAAGGCACAAAAAATTGAGCAGGCAATCCACCCAAAGCCTTCCCCTTGCACACAAAGTTACAGCAGGATGTGCACAGATAGATGGGTAGCAGGCATGCTACTAAGGGCTGAAGACATATATTATGGGTCAAAGTGCTTGCTTTCCCACTTTCAAAATTCATCTCAGAGAGGGGCAATACATAGACAAATATAAACTGACTGGCATGAATGAGATGGTTAACATGTGTCAGACAACTTTCATTGAATCTCTGAGGAGGCCACGGACATAATTAATAAATATGTCAATAAGAATGTTGTTTATTTGGATTTCCAGAAGCATTTGATAAAGGTTTGACACAAGGAGGTACTAGCAAAATTATAAGTGTGTGAAACTGCAAGTAACCTTGTGTCACAAACTGACAAATAGACAGGTGGTAGGAGAGATGTGATAAAAAGGACTTCTGCGATTAGTGAAATGGGACTTGTGGATTGGTCTCACTATTTTACTATATTATGTATTATTCATAAATTACTGACTTGGGAGAAGGACTGCGAGACTTTTAGGTTTAAGTTTACAAACTACTAAATTTGAAGAGCACAGTAGACATTTTTTATTATTATTTTTCATTCATGGGATGTGGGTGTCGCTGGATGGGCACTGCTGGCTGGGCCAGCATTTATTGCCCTTAGATTGCCCTCCTCTAATTGCCCAAGGCAATTAAAAGAATTAAAAGGCAACCATATTGCTGTGGGTCTGAAGTCACATTCATGCCAGACCAGGAAAGGATGACAGTTTCCTTCCCTAAAGGACATTAGTGACCAGATACATTTTTCTAACAATCGACAATGTTTGATGTTTATTAGTCTCTTAATTCCAGATTTTTATTACATTCAAATTCCACCATCTGCCATGGTGGTATTTGAATGCAGGTCTTCAGAAGGTTGCCTGGGTCTATGAACTAATAATCTAGCGATAATACCAGTAGGCCATTGTCTCTCCAAGGTAAGAAAAGTTACAAAGGCATATAAACTAATTCAATGTGGAAGATTATACCAGACAGGGTTCAATAGTTGGTGGTGAAGAGGTTGAAAAGTAATCGTAATTGTTGAGAGGCTAAGAGCTGTAGTGGAACAAAGGAATTTGGGGTCTCCTATGCACAAATCAATGAAGTCTGGCTAGATGCCCTTCAGCAAGGCTTACTAAATTCATCACTAAATCTCTGAAAGATAGACTGGCCTTGAACACAAGCACAAAAATCACCAGAATAATATTGAAGCATAAGGAGTTAAACTATAACAACAGGTTGCAAAAACTTGGTTTGTATTTCCTTGAGTTTAGAAAATCAACATTCTTATCTAAATCATGCTAGTTCAAATTGATAAAAGAATTTCAATAGGGTAGATACAGATAATCTACTTCTTCTAGTAGAAAAAATGTTGAACAAGAAGGCACAGTATTACAGCAAGAATATCTAGGAATGAAACTGGGTAACAGTCATTTACAGGAATAAAGTAGAAATCTGTAACAAAGGCTGTGAATGCTAGGCCAATTAAAGTTTACAAGATTGAGACTGATAAACTTGGGTAACGGTCTCAAGTGAAGTAGACTAAAAGGGAAGTAAATGGAACTGAGGTAAACAGCAGCTGTTACCTAACTGAACTGTAGAACATTCAGAAGAAGCTTATTAGTCCACCTTTCTTCCTCTATAAGAGATGGGGGATCTTTAAATTTAAAGTAAATTACATTAAGTTAATACAAGTCACACTTACCATTTGTGCTTTGGCTGAATGTTTTCCCTGAACAACATAAAAAGATTAGCAAGCTCAACACTACTCAAAAGATCTTAACTGTAAGATTTATATATTTTAATACAACCTAGGAATTTCATCAGTTTAAAAAATTATCAGAACTAAATGGTTCCATTTTGTAACTTGCTTTTATATTTATTTTGCTGTGATTCCTTTGAGCTGTTTTTCGAACACTGGTCAAAACACTTCATTCACTTAACTAAGCCATCCAATTTTTCTCCTGCTAAAGTTAAAAGACATTACTGAAGAAATCAGAGTTAATGTTTCGGGTCCAGTGACCCTTCAAGAGAACCTGAACTGGAGCCGAAATGTTAATTCTGATTTCTCTCCACAGATGCTGCCAGATCTGCTGAGATTTTCCAGCAATTTCTGTTTCTGTTTCCGATCTTCAGCACCTGCAGTTCTTTCGGTTTTTCATAGATTAGCTTGGCAGGATGATCAAGGACAGATTATGCAAAGTCATAATTAAATTGAGAAAAAGTAATTTAGTGTAATAAATGGTTACAACAGACAATAAATGAAGTGTTGTGACGATAAAATGAATGCTTTCCTGAGAAATTTAATCCATGATTTGCATAGACTGAGTGACTTCCATACTACAGTTGTAGATCTGTATTTGAGTTTCTGGAACAAATTGGTGGAGTTGATTGTAATTCCAAGTTTTTGGAATTTACAGTTCAACTGAAGGAATATGCACGAAGATGTGTTATATAGTTATGGTGGATGCAGGTATAGTAGAAAAATCAGCTACCTTTGAGAACATTCACAAATCCCAATTTCCAACAATAACACTCAACCGCAAATCAATTTCATAATTAACAGACATCAGTGTTACTTTAACTAGTAAATACTATGAAGAACACCATTGTCAGTCTATAATTTCACTTTAGAATAATAATTGGCTGCAGTAATCAGCTGTCAGGTCAGCTGCAGCATGCTGCGACAATCAGCCATTGCTGTAAAGTAACAATATATCGTGCATCCTTCCAATATGTTACAGTTTGCACAATAGCTGAAGTGAGCAAGTATAAACCCGTGAACTGCAACAGCAAAAGAAATAAGGCAGAAACAGCTGCTTTAAACAGTCAAAGCCCAATACACAAGTCAGCTGGTTAAGAACAGCTTACACTACACTTCAGTACTATTTTGTTCCAAACTGCCAGAACATTAGTCATAATGCTATTGGGCAAGTTTCCAAGCAAGTGAAAATCTTGCAGTAAATCCATACTAATATTATAAACTTCCACACTAAGTCTGTAGTTTCTAAACGTCTGCTAAGGTAGTTATTCTTGAATTCAAAATATTTGTGAATTTACCAAAAATATGAAATTCAATCTCCATACTTCAAAAAAAAATGTTAAATAATTAATGCATTCCACACAGACTGTGCTCTGAATGTCGATGTTATTATAGAATATTTTGGTATAATTTAAAAAATTGTAATCAAGGCATTTACCATATTTTTACCTGTATTATCATCACCATCTGTTATATTATCATCATCATCGTCATCGTCATCTTCCTGTTCAGATTCTGCACCGCTATTATTGCCTTCAACCTTTCCATTCATCTTGTTACAGTTCTTGGGTGAGCTGAAAACTTCGCCAAGATCTGGATATTTGAGAAGAGAAGCATATAAAGACATCAAATATGGAACAAAGGCAAACTGCAAATGTTAGAAATTTTGCATGATCTAACAATTACTTACACTAAATTCCATCTGCCCACTTAATTCGCCTAAATTTTCTGAAAGCTGTTAATCTTCACTGGCTCTTACCCGACTTATGCAGTTACAAATTTAAGCCCCATCCCTGGACAAAAACATAGATTTTCCTGAGGCAGGGTGAAAAGGGGTGGCAATGGTCCTTGTGATGGAGAGGATAGGAGGTCAAAAGCTAAGTGAGGAGTAAAATAGGATGCTAATGGTGCAAAAGGTTTGGTTGAATTGTGTACCATTTGGTGGAGAAGGTGGTGCAGTTAGCAGTGATTGGAGGTCTTCTCAATATTTAACGATATGGAATTGAGGCTCATCCAGGAGTGCATGTCAGAAACGCAGGATTTCAATAAACAGGGGCATTGGAGCATGGAAAACAGAGATGACATTTGACATTGGACTGATTGCCATCATTGTAACAGGAAAGCTGACACTGCAAATATAGCACGTAAATGAGTGAGAGGAGCATGCGAGGTTAGTTCCTTTTAGGAGCGGGACTAATGAGTACTAAAGCGACAACATGGGGACAAGTGCTGGAAGAGATGTTCCAATTTAAATACTATTATGCATTTACATTAACATTACTTCTGTGGGGATGAAAATCAACACATCTTATCCTATTTTTATTGCAAAGCAGAATTTCAAACTGTAACTAAGCAAATTACTGCTTTTGGATCTAAATTAAAATTATCTTGCTGATCTTTTTGGGCAATCTCTCAGGAGCAAAGATTACTTGCTTCCACAACTGGATTGTAAGATCCCTGAGAAATCTAATGTGCGATCTACAGACTATGCCACATGTGGAGTAGATGATGCTTGATGGATCAGGTATTCATTTTTTGGCAGTTTGCGTCCTCTATCCAACACCTTAACTTCACCGAAGTGTTCATAACCAAGTTGCTCAATAGTTTAGCATCTTCCTAAACTAACCTTATCCATGTTGGTTCATTACAAACCAGAGATTCCCATGAGTCAGCTGGATTGTTTGACATAATTAGGGTTGCTATGATGATATACTTAAAGCATTTCTACTTTCCTCTACAGTGTCTCCTGCTTTCTCCGAATTCTGAGGAACATTATTACTTTAGGAGTCTGATTTTGGCATATAAATAGCATGCCCTTCTCACTGAAGCCAGTTGAGTGACTAGCTTATTGATACTGGGTACTTTGGTTTGGAAAAGGTTGCAGGTATTGGACGATTCTACCTGCCAGACTTTGGATCTTCTGAATGCATTATTGGTTGTACTACTCTTGAGTTTTGAGGTAACTGATGCAAGTTGCCAAAGCATTCGAAGCATATAGGAACAAAGGGATTACCACTGTCCAGAAAGCCATGACCTTAATTTCAAATTTGAGGTTATAGACATCAAACATTATTTTCAGTCTCCATTAACCTGGTCCTCAAACCACAGAAGCATTTCTAAGTCACCCCCTTGGTGCAAACTTTGAATTACAATTTTTGAATTAGCTTTTACCTCAAAATCTCTCAATCTCCATCACTAGAAGCTATACTGTATCTGTAGAGCCTGATAAACCCTGAAGTGCACCCAGAAGGACCTGTAGAGTGTTTAGTGGCTTCTTAACTGGAAACACAGTCATCAGTTTGATGAAAACAACTGAGGGATATAGGACTGGACTGAACACAAGTGCAAAACCTTAACAGACTGAAAAATTTATCATGTTAAGAAAAAAAGCAGCAGTCTTGCAGGTATGTGATGGCAACAATACAACATAAAATCCACGATATAAAGAACATAAGCTGCAGTATGCAGAAACTAAGCTCCAGGTCATTGCTGACTCCTTCTCCAAAGCATATGTGATCATGGGCCTTTCATTAAGTATACAAAAAATGTAAAATCCTCTTCTAACCAGCTTTAAAAGCACTATACAACCCAACATGGATTAAAATCAATGTAGAGGTCCTGGAAAGTTTAGAGCATTTTATGTATCTTGGGAGCCTCCTCTCAATGAAAGCAGACACAGACAAAAATTACCACCACCTTCAAGGTGCCAGCTTCGTTTTCAGTTGACTGAAGAAAATAATATTCGAGGATAAAATATCTTTAAAATGATAGTTGTCACCTAACATTTGAGAAATCAACTCTTAAATTTAAAACAGATTTAACATTGTAGTCACAGGTTTAACTTGAATTACAAAGTCAATTTTTGCAGCAATCATATGAAATGGTTTTAAAATATAAAATATGACCTATGCAAATTTGTTGCGCGGTTGCTGTTACATTGGTTGAGTGAATAAAAACAGCAAAACAATTTTTTTTGGGTTTAAAAATAATTCAATTTAGAACAACTGGTTTCTGTTTTGTGCAAAATGCCTTTAATCTTAATGTCATTTACTGAAGATTGCTACTGCAGCAAAAATAAACAAATGCAAAATTTTCAATTGCTCTGTTTCAAATTCAAACTCAACTAGTTAACCATGACATGACTACAGCACCCAAGGATCAACTCTGGACTAAATGATAACTAAAAAATAGTACAATTTCTTTTTTTTTTTCAGAATAAAAATTGAACCTTGTTCATCCCTCAATGGTCCTCTCAGATATGTCTGTGCCTTATTGATGATGCGTATGGATTATTTATTTGAAATTATCCAAGTTTCAGAAAGTGCTTTCAATAATAAAGGCAGAAGTAACAAGTATTCTACCATTCAAATTAAGCAATGTTTAAGGAAAATGCATTTGGAATAATCCTTACCTTCAAGTGATTTAATCACTTTCTCCAATCGGCCTGCACAGTCAACGCAGGATGCAGAAAGTAGAACATCAGAACACATTATTTAAATGTGTTTGAAACAAATGACAATGTAATGTTCCTTTTACAGCAGAATATACACTATTTTCATGTAGTGTTATGGTAAACATAAACAAAGAGTTCAAACAATTAATTAAAATTATTGGAAACGTTATACGACTTTCTAAACAATCTAACCTGACGAAATTGCATAAGGCGATATTGGTTGTTTTTTGTCATCAACAAGTTCATAGAATGGTCCAAGAACACGAAGTAGCTCCTCCACCTCCTCAGTCATTGGCATGGATTCAAGGATCTATAATGTGAAAAACAGATAATTCATAATGCTGCTATTCAGCAACTGTGAAGTCTATTCCATGCCCAAGAAAGAACACTGAATTAGAGATGGAAAATTCCATTCACATGCAAGTATGACATCTGGAATTGCAAGAAAATAACCTTAATTGTGTTCCACCATTGCAACATATCAACATGTCTTCTATGTAGGCCCTTTAAAACAACATGGTTGAATCAAGCATGTGAAACGGGAGGAAATGGCAAGCAACAAAGCAAAAAGCAATTTACAAGCACAGTTCATATACTTGACTCATAGCTGCACAATGCTAGAAATAATCACAAGTTCAATTTCTGTAATTCCCACATATTACAAGTGTCAAAAAAGGAAATTAACTTTAGTAAGCTTAGACAGGGTAGACACGGAAAGATTGTTTTCCCTTGTGGGAGAGTCTAGGTCCAGAGGGCATAATATCAGAATAAACGACCCTTCATTTAAGTCAGAGGTGACGGGGAATTTCTTCTCTCAGAGCACGGTCAATCTGTGGAATTCTTCACTGCAGAGGGTTGTTGAGGTTAGGTCATGACATATTTTCAAGGCTGAGGTAAACAGATTTTTAATCAGGAAGGGAATCAAGGGTTATGGGGAAAAGGCAAGAAAGTAGAATTGAGTGTTTTCAGATCAGCCATGATCTCATTGAATAGTATGACAGACTCAATGGGCTGATTAGCCCATTCTGCTCCTATGTCTCATAATCTTACATAAATCGTAAAAAGTTGAGACTTTGGCACTAATCCCTGTAGCAAACCACTTGTTACATCTTCCCAACCAGAAAATGACTGATCTAATCTTACTCCAAATCCTAGATAACAAGGGTCTAGGCCCGAAACGTCAGCTTTCCTGCTCCTCTGATACTGCTTGGCCTGCTGTGTTCATCCAGCTCTACACCTTGTTATCTCAGATTCTCCAGCATCTGCAGTTCCTACTATCTCTTACTCCAAATCCTGTTTGGCTAGTCAATCTTTGAACCCACTACACCGGGAGCTTTTATTTTTTGCAATAATCTTTTATCTGGTGTCTTCTGAAAAGGCCTTCTGAAAATTGAAGGACAATAAATCCACTAGTTCCCCTTTATACTACAGTACAGATTACTTCTCAAAAAACTCCAATAGATTGATTAAACATAATTCCCATTCACAAAACCATGCTGACTCTGTCCAATTACCAAGGAATTCTTTAAGTGTCCTGCTATAACATTCAACAATAGTTAACTTTTTGAACAAGTATATTTGCTATTTTCCAACCTAATGGATCCTTCCTCAAATCTAGGAAAAGCTTTAAAACCCTAGGATGAAGTCCATTAGGATCCAGGGACTTATCAACTTGTAGTTCTAATAGTTTGCACAGTATTACTTCTCTAGTCAGGCAAAGCGAGAGTGTACTTGTAATGTTACTGGACAAGTAATCCAAATTCCCAGGCAAACATTCTGAGGTCATAGAGTTGAATCATGCCATGATTTGAATTCAATAAAAATCTGGGATAAAAAGCTAGCTTAATGATGACACAGAAATATAGAAAGTAGGGGCATGCCCTTTGAACCTGATCCACTATTCACTAACATCATGGATGGTCATCCAACTCAGTACTCGGTTCCTGCTTTCTCCCCATGAACTATGTCTAACCCCTTCTTGAAAACAATCAATGTTTTATCCTCAACTACTTTCTGTAGCAGAGGCTTGCCATTTTGTGGGTGAAGAAATTTCTCATCTCAGTCCTAAATAACCTACCCCATATCCTTAGACTGTTATCCCTACCTCTGGATTCCCAATCATCAGGAACATCCCTCCTCGTTTAGTATGTCGAGTCCTGTTAGAATTTTATGATTTCTATGAGATCACCCCTCATTCTTCTAAATTCCAGTGAATATATTCCTAATTGATCCAGTCTCTCTTCACACATCATGACCATGTAACCCTTGTCAATTGGCATAAAAATCCATCTGGTTCACTTATGCTGTTTAGGAAATTTGCCATCCTTACCTGTTCTAGTCTACATAGAAGCACCGAACCACAGCATTGTAAGTAACTCTGGAATGACCTCTGGGCATTTAAGGATGGGTAATAAATGCTGGCGTAGCCAGTTAACACTCATGTCATGACCAATTTTTTAAAAAATCTGCAGCAATTTGTTTGCAGTTTTCCCACCTATTTCTTGAGTTTACAGCTATTTCTTGGATGTCAATTTTAGCCTGTATAGTATAATTAATACACTTGTTCAATTCAAGTGCCATATCCTTATTTGCATTATTAGTTCCTCAAACTCACTTTCTATAGGATCAGCATTCACTTATTAACTCCTTTTTGAGAAAAGGAGCAATAGAAGCTCCTACAATCGATATTAATATTTCCAGCTGGCTTTCTCTAATTTTCCCTTCTTATCAATCTTTACATAATTCCTTTATTTTTGTATGATGTCCAAATCGTCTAGCTTGTGACCCATCATCATACAGTTTTTTTTTTTTAAAAAGTTTGATGCAGTATTTAAGTAATCATAGACAGTAGTTCCTCCCTTTGGAATTTTGCTTTCTTTGTATAAATCTAGGCTGTGCATGTTGAAATATCCCCTTAAGTGTTTGCCACTGCATCACGATTGACATATTCCCTAACCTAGTTCGTCAGTTTGCTTTCATATCCTCATAACTGTTGCTCTTTAAAGTTCATAATAAAGAGTCTTGGAACCATTCTTCTCTCGCTCAAAATGAATGTAAATTTCAATCATGTTATGGTCACTGTTACCTAGGGTTGCCTTCATTACGAGGTCATTAATTAATCTCATCCTGTTCCAAAATACCAGGACTAGTATAGCCTGCTCTCTGCTTAGTTTCTCAGAACTACATGCTTGGGAACCATTTTAAAAACATTTTAATGAACTCATCATCTACGCTACTTTGACCATCTGATTGTTTCAGTTTGCACATAGATTAAAATTGCCCACAGTTGTTCCGTTTTTCCGACAAACTCCCATTATTTCTTCCTTTATACTCCATCCTACTGTAGTCACTGTTAGGATGCCTGTGTACCTGGTTTCCTGAATTTAAGTAATCCCTCTCTGTTGTGGTAAGACCATAATTATTTAACAGAGATACCCCTCTACCTTTTCTTCACTTCTTGGCCTCCCAAATGTCATGCACCCTTCAACATTCAGATTCCAATCTGTGTTAGCAGAGACCTGGATGCAGGTTGACTACCAGATCATATTTATTTGTATTTCTATTTGCACTAATCACAAGTTGATTAATGGTCATTCATTGATTTACTATTTGTGCTTTGCAATATTGATAACTTACATTTATATAACACCTTTCACTTGGCCTGATGTCCCATTGAGCTCTGTTGTAACATTACCAAATAAAATTGGACATTAAATCACTTTTGGAGATATGACTGCAGATGATCAAGAACACAGTCAATAAGATCAACAGGAAGTGAGAGAGATGCGCAGAGGTTGAGGAAAGACATTCCAGAGCTTAAAAGGGTGCATTAAATGGCACAATCTACAGTAACATGTATCTGATTACTGAACTTAAAAAAAAAAATCAGGTGCATCAAGAAGATTCTAAGAATAATACTGAATAAGTGATACATCAAAAGTTTAAATAAAATGGTATGGGCATTTTAATTTGTTTCTATTGGGGAACAAAAATCTGCAGGGAAATTTCATTACATTTTAATTATAAAGTGAATATGCAGCAGTTATTTTTATTAAACCTCAAGAGAAGTGGGTTAAAAATGGACTACTATATCTTGATTTTTAAATGGAAATTTAATGTTTACATTCAGATTCACTGATGAGGCAATATTTGTTTCTATAAATAAACTGCTGTTGCTGTTTTAATTCTCAAACCAGAACAGGTGCCAACTAACTCAATAACCAAATTACATGTAGTACACAATTTGTACTAGAGAATTAAAATATAGCATTGCCTTCAGATTTTTTAAATTCTGGAACTGCAGGTAGGCCAAGTTCTGAACCCAGCTGTATGATGAGACAACTCTGTTAAAATACTAATTACCTGTACAGGCTTTCCCCTGACATCATCATTTTTATGGGGTGCTAATGGAATTGTCACAATGTGGTAAGCCAGAGCCCCAGGTTAATGCTTTAGTCATATGAACCAAATCCTACCATGGCAGGTGGTGAAATCTGAATTCAATAAAATCTGGAAGTAGAAACTTCTCTAACTGCAATCATGTAACCATCGCCAATAACACTAATACCACTTGGTTCACTAATGTAATTTAGGGAAGGAAATCTATGTGACTCCAGACCCACAGCAATATGGTGACTCTTAACCGGCCTCTAAAATGGTCAGTTCAAGGGAGTGGTGATTGGAACCAGGTGGACTTCATTGACTATGAAGTTTTTGATCGGGGTTGTTAACCTGGGCCAATCAGGAAAGCCCTGGCTGACCAATATAAACAGGAGATGGAGTGTTTTATTTCCCCCTCCAACTCTATCTTAATTTGATCCTGACCCACCCCTTCACCTTTTCGTTCACATAGGCATTGCCCTACAGGGGCTCTGCTTGATACTGATGCTTTGGTCACATAGGTGATTTTCCTGGTGGTGGTATGTTAATAAAGTCATTTGCACACCTGGTATTTTTTTAGGGGAAAAAAAAGAAAAAGCATATAACCAGGGGATTAGAATCACCCCAGTTGAGGACTGACTCTAAGCTGACTGGCCACAGCCAATATACTCTGCACTAGTAAATAAAGAGTGACTTGGTGACGGGACCAGCCTCTGTGCAGTTATTTCTCCAACAAACCACAGCCCTCTTCTTGGGAGTCCTCCATGTCCCACTGTATGGAGGAGTATACTGTACTATTATTTGTGAGTTACCATTAGACAACTAAAGCAAAGAAAAATGGATGCATCCTGTTTCTCTGAGAGTAAAGTTTCTTCACTTTTGTCCAAAAATCCTATTGAAGGCATTTATTAAAAGGTTGTTGGCATAGTC